AACAGCATCAACACGAACAGCACCATCAAACAAAGCAACAACAGCAGCAGCAGCAACAACAACAACAACAACAGTTTCATGCTAATTCTGTAACGACAAGGCAGCGACAGGTAGGCTGCGTTGACACCTACAAAAATTCACTTTAAATCGCTCAGGCGTTAACATGTCAAGACACAGGCAATGTCATGATTATGTGAGATTAAATGGAAACTTAGGGTCTACTCATCTGATGGTGGGCAAATTCAACTACGATACCTTCAGCGGCTTAAACGAATAGGTTTTATTCAAGATCTACTGGTTGTCTCGAGACGAGGATCAAAAACGATAAACCTTACTAGTCTAGGCCACCAAGGATGACTTCAGGAATGATATTTTACTTTTTTAGAATCAAGGATAAGTGTTTAGTCTTACAAAGAGGACACGGACTCTACAACTCCAAAGTTGGAAGCCCCGAGACGAGGAGAGCAAAGGTAAAAGAGTATTACAAAGTGTCTTATTTGTAGATGGTTGGATAAAGTATGGCCCATCCACTTATTCGCACAATTCTCTGCTCCCATTTCCTCCAATGTCGCTACAACTGGGTTTAGTGAAGCATAATCATCTCCACCACCGCTACCATATACCATTTGCAGAGCTCATAGCCTACATTCTGCCCCCCCCCCACCACCCTTCTTTTTTCTATACCCGCTTGTCAATTGGCCACTGCTAAGCATCGAAATCACTGTTTGGTTGTCTGAAAACTGGCTGCCTAAGAGCCTTCAATCCGCGTCCTCGATGACGCCATATTCGAGGATTTAGAGCGGATGATGCCCATTCAAGTGACTGGGAATCTTCTTCTCCCTAGGCTCCAAACCCCTGACTCAGTCATCCCCTTTCTCATCCTCACCGCATGTGTTTGTTGGCTGATATCCCCGTGGTGAAGCATCTCACCAATCACCTCACCTTCAGGCACAGACAGCACAAATGCACACTAGCACCCACACACACTGGTGACTTACATCTGGCTGCTCCTTGGTGATGTCTCTTCCTATTGTTGAACCGTCGTCCTGGATCAAAGCGTCTTCTTTTTTGATGTCTTCGTTGAATCTCCAAGTCTGCCCAGGCAGTACACAAAATTATCGATGACTCTTCCCTCTTCCAATCTCCTCTTCACTAGGTTTGTTTGAAAGATGATTTCCACAGCCTCGCTGATCTTCTGCTTCCTGGTGTTTTCACCATATAACGCCAGTCGTTCCGTTGCATCCCAGTCAATTGTGTAGCCTTTAATGCCAATCTCCGATCTTTCCTTATCCATTTTTTTGCATTGTTGCTGGTGCTCTTTGACTCTTGTCCTGATTGTCATTCCCATCTCTCCAATGCATTTATATTTATAGCCCTTGTAGTTTGTGCTGTAAACTCCATTTTTTTGACTCTTTCATGTTGGTTAGGCAGGCTGGTGAAGAGGATTGTCCTTTCATTCAGGACTATACGAATGTTCCATTTCCGTAGCTTCCGCGCCTATTTGCAGGAGGGTAGACAAATCAATCCTTTTTTCTCTGATCTTGTTGCTTTGCTTTCATAAACTCCGTCCTTCCATCTGTTTATGATCATCCCTATGTTGCGCCGTATTGCTTATTCTGGATACACGTTTCCAAGAGACATCTGAGTTAGTCTTCCCATAACGCAGAATCGGTAAGTTGTAAGCTTCTTATTACCATATTCCGGAGTATTAAAACCTTCATTTCATAAGTATGGTTCCACTGGAAGTTAAGAGTTATTCCAGCATACGATTTCTTTCGGAAAAGTCTTCGTTTGAGAGTTTCCTCGGAGCGAATGACCTCCACATACAGGAAAGCTAAGTGCCCATTTACTTCT